GTTTCAATTCAATAATAGTTTTATCTCTCCTCTTTTATTGAATTGAAGTCTAATTATAACAAGTTGTTTGTCAATGATAGATTAGAAAAAATCTTAAACATTTCTAACACTTATTGTTTACTGTTATCCGACTATAAAGCTAATGACTATTGAAATCTGTTTAGTAATTATTTTATTAGTATATTTATAACAAAAAAACAAGATTACAAGAGAGGAAAATAATCATAGAACTCTTTTGTGTGCACAATTATTTTTTTGAAGTCTATTTGTTTTAATTGAGCACTATTACGACGCGTTGCATTTCTTGTAAAGTTTTGTGTTACGAATCTTAATTTACTATAGTCGACACTTAATGTGGTTAGCTGTGGTAGATATGTTTTATTCTGATTGAGAAATTGTTCGGTATAATGAATATAAGTATATTCTAGACATAGTGAAATAAGATGTGGATATTCAACAGTTGTATACAATTCATTATTGTGACAGATCAAATGATGTTTCATTTCCCATGTCATCAAAATCGGGGGACAATCGACGATTTAATCACGATTTAGCACCCGATTAATTGTGAGATTTATCGCGATATATCGCAATAGGCCAAGATTTCGATAAAAAGTCGTCGATTAATCGCGATTTGCTCAACGATTATTTTTGGATGAAAATATAGTCATCGTAAATGATAAAATTTTAATAGACTAGATGATTTAACACCATTTTATACTGCACTATCCATATCACCAAAAATCCCGAAAAAATTAGCGATTTTATCGCGATATAGAAGCCGATTAATTGTGAGATCTATCGCGATAAAATCGCCAAAAATAAGTACTTTTTGCCGATTTTTTTATCGGAAAGTCTTGATTCGTAACGATTCCCGCAAAATAAGCATTTCTTACTGGCGATATAATCGTCAATATTTTGAAAAATCGCGATTCGTCGCCCAAACCTTGGCGATTTTGAAGGCATGGGTTATTACCGTTCATCATTATGTCTAATAAGTGGATTATTACCAGCGAGATTAGGAAAATTTAAATGATCTTTAATTAATATAATATCTCCTACACTGTATCCTTTATTAATATTACTAGCAACGCTAAATATATTATTCATTTTTACTTAATTATTAACATGGTATTGTGTGGTACATATTTATTTTAATTATTAATTATTTACAAAAAATTTAAAATATGCATATATTGAGAAGCTGTTGTATTTATAAATTTTCTTTGTTTTCGTGTTCTAAAAAAATTATATTTTTGAAAATTCGAGAACAATAATTTGTTTACTTTGTTGTTCTTTCAAAGTTTTCATCTGTTTTGAACATTCACGTAATTATTTTTTCAAATCTACTTTTTCATCTTGTTTCTTGGAGTTTTTAGTTTGTTCTTTGATGGTCTCAATTTGTATTTTGAGTCTCTTAATCTAAATACAAAGCATTAAGAAAAAAAAATGTGAGTATTTTAATTTTACCTCTCCTCCAGTGGTGGGGTCAAAACCATCATTACCATTTTCAGTTACAAAATCAAAAGCTGAAAAATTATAATCATCGTCTTCAAAATCAAAATCAACAGCACGAAGATTAACATTATCGTCTGGTTTATTTATTTCGTCGTTACTTGATGTAGCAGCTGTGTCAGCCTAAAGACCAATATATTTAGTTACTATCCAGGTCAACCAATCCAACGTAGGATCCGATCATCCGATAGGATTCCTGGTGACGGATTTGCATTGAATTCCGTCAGAAAATTTTCAGTCATTTGCTGCAAATTTGATGAGCGGCGTTTTTGGCTATATTCTATGATGGCCTTATGGTCACCTATCGGATCCGTCTAGATCCGTTTGTTGGAAATTGTGAGATCCGATGTAGGGATGTACCGAGCCCGAGCCTCTCGGGCTCGGGGCTCGTGGTTTGGTAGGCTCGGGGTCGGTCGGGATCAGGTGTCAGAAACTCACTCCTACATCAATCTGACACCCGAGCCTTGACCGAGCCCCGAGCCCGAGCCCTGATCGAGCCCCGAGCCCGAGCCCTGATCGAGCCCCGAGCCTGACCGAGCCCGAGCCCGAGAGGCTCGGGCTCGGTACATGTCTATCCATAATGTTTGTAAAGCAGGATTTTCAAATCTATCAGGACGATATTTAATTGTTAAACCAAGAAGTATTTTTTAAATACACCAACTTCATCATTGGTTATACGTGGTATATCATTCTTTGATAAAGTTTGTATATCATCAGCATATGGTAAATAATGTAGATGAAAACCATTTGATGCTATACGATCACTGGGATCTTTTTATTGATTTCTTCAGCTTGTGGAATAATTCCAGGTCGATTATTACGAACTTCGTAAACGATTGAATACGACCATATACGATCGTGTTTCACCGTTTTTTACCGTTTTATCTGAGGCCGTATTACGATCGTATGTCTCCGTACCGTATACGGAAAAGTATGATCGTTTACGGAGAAAAACGGTCTTAGAAGATCGTATTTTTCCGTTAACGGTACGGAGACATACGATCGTGATACGGCTTCAGGTAATACGGCAAAATACGGTCGTGCGCGGTCGTATTTCTCCGTATACGATCGTTTACGATCGTTTACGATCGCGCTTGTTTGACCTGGGGTGATGGTGTATTCTGTCTTGCAGTAAATTAACATAGAATAAACATTTGTTTTTCTAAACATTTTTTTAATAGTGCAT